TAGATATAATGCAAATAATAAAAGAGGTTATTTTTAAACCATTATGGAATCTTACGTCATAGGCCTAATGACAAGTTGTTCATCTGAAAAAAATATCCAAATTGTCATTTTTGTTAAAAAGTAGGAAATGAAAAACGTATGTTTTTATAGTGCCATGGACTTCAGGGGTATTGGAAGTACGTAAGCAGCAGATAGTAACTTAGAAAAACATAATATTAGAATGTTTTTACATATAGGCATAGGCCTATTGATATTATAGTCCTATTCGAAGTCAATGATTTTCAGTAATTACAATAATTATTATCGCTCTAATTGAAGATCCCTTTAATTAAAGACCACCTACAATTAAAAAAAGGCACTTTTCTGTGGTCCCAAATTAACAAATGCCTTTGTCTTCATTATTCTAATTAGAGACCAAAGCTGCTAAAAACCATTGAAATCTCGGTCCCAAAATAGTCTTTAATTGGAGGGAAACCTGTAGCTTGTTTTGTAATATATAAAATGTATATAAAACGAGAAGAAAATAAAAACTATTGAAACGTATAACAAAATCAATGCAGAACTGAAACAAAGACGAAAAACTTTAAAAACGAAAGCTTTTGGTAGAATACGGAGTGATATGTTGTAGTGGTAATTTTGGTTATTAATGCATTAGGGCCGCCTATGACGCAATGAGTTAATGTTATAGATATAGGCCTATGTTACTGTTATAAATACAGTTGTCATGAATATAATATATTGCTGTTTGTGCGAAATACTTTTGGAATGAATGAACATGATTTATGTAAAAAGATTAATTAAATAGAATAAAGAGGTAGGCTAGGTATATCCGCAAAACAAGCAGGAAGGTGTTCCTGATCGATGACTTTTGGTAATGGTATAAAGGGGAGTTTTCATTGGCGGAAAAATCAATACAGGCATACTTTATTGTTCAACAAGAGTTAAACTAAGGCTACCTCTATTCAGCGTTTTAGACGAGGCTTTTTGTTGACACTACAAAAACATGCTTAAATCATGGAGGAAATATCCTTCATGTTTAAATATAGTCCGTATTGGCTTAAGTTATTAAATTTGGTTTTCGGCATGGGTTCATAATTGCCATTAATTACTACCACTAACAGAAAAAATAAATAAAAAAATAAAAAATAAAAATAAAATGTCCTAAAATTGAAAAAACCCACAAATATATAAATAAATATTGAATACCAAGACACGCTTCAAACTCACGATCTTCGGTTACCTACTACACAGCGTTAACTGACCGCGCCATCCATGCGACGTGTCTTATTAGTGGTAATGACAGTAATGCACAGTAGTTGCTGAAACCCCTGGTATATTTTGTAGGTGTATCCAACTTTTAAAAATAAGGGCCATGATGGAAATCACTTCTAGTTTATGTGTACACAATTTCCTGCACGTCCGTTCTGGACGCTTTTAAAGTTTGGTAAGAACAAGAACAGCAGTGAGGTTCTGGGTCCGATTTGCCGGGACCCAAAAAAATATTTGATCGGTGTGTTGTATGTAGCCATCTGGTAAGACTTTAAACAAAAATCAAATATATTTTAATAAAACGTCTATATAATATATGCCAGGAGTGCCACTTTGGATGGAGGATACCGGCCCTATACACATAGACCAATTTGCAGGCGGGAGATTTTGTTTTAAAAACCCCTCCCCTAGGGGTCGTGGGCCTGATGCGCTCCCCCTCCCCCCTTCACCCGGAAAAAATCCTTTCCTAGATGCTCGGAAATACATTCTTTAGGCTAGTATTTTTACAATTGAAAGTAGGTTAAGAATCCGCATTATTTTTCCTGAGAATGCATGTTTCTGCTGTCCACGAGCCTGTCACATTCACACAAGAATCGGGCGCGTGGCGGTTAGTAGCGTGTTCTTTGATCTTATCCGACGACACTGACAGTACTTTGTCAAAATAAAAAACAAAAACAAAAAAACGACATATTCAGTGTAGATTATTATTATTATTATTATTATTATTATTATTATTATTATTATTATTATTATTATTATTATTATTATTATTATTATTATTATTATTATTATTATAGGCAATAACATTTAGGCCTATGCGTGAAATTTTGGTCTTCAAGCGTGAGAGCGTGAGACAGACTGCAAATTCGGGAGTTTCACGCCTAATGCGTAAGCCTTGACTATATGTTTCTACGGTATACACGTATTACTAGTTTATATTGCTTTTTATAATGTAATTGTTATAATTAAGTGCAAAACGGATGCATTTGTGTTATAGAGGTCGCTGTCGCACTTTTATGAATGAGTGTCTACAGAAGTTTACTGTTTCTTCAATACACACATAAGTGCTTCGTATCCGAAAGGAAAGGTGCTATGTAAATTCTTATACTAATTCATAACAAATTTATGTGTAGATTTTTAAAGGCATAGACATGATGCCTGTAGTCAAATCTGGGAACCTTAAAAACTAATTCAGACATTGAATTGGTAATTTACAATAAACGTTATCCATAGGCTTACTGATTAACTAATTTCCTACAAAATCATCACAATTTTTACCAACAAATAAAAGGGTCCATTTACAAGAAATATTTAAAGTTTCTCCTGTTCATAAAGAAGAGTTTCTTGTTCTAATTTTAAATTATTTCATTTAGTTGTAGTACAATCATTTCAAATCAAATTAATAATACTAAGTGTCAGATTAGAATTTTCTTTTTGCTGTTTTAGAATGCTATTGATAAATTAATACATTCTGGTTTGGTAAGTAATGAATGAATGACAGGAAGTGAGTGCGGTGGTGTATTAAATGTACTGTATTATGTTTTTACTAGTTTACAGTTGCTTTATCCACATGTAATTATAATACGAAACGGATTTTTGTTATAGAGGTCGCTGTCATTCTTTTATGATTGAGTGTCTAGCTTGTTCTATATTCTTTGTAAACATAATATAGTGCTTCGTATCCGAAAGTTGTTATATAAATGCTTATACCATGGAAGAATAAGTTACAGTTATATTCTCCATGATTTTTCTATCATGACAAATTCACGTGTAAACCTATTCTATCATTGTATATATTATATCAGTAATAAAATTTGGAAACCTTAAATGATTAAAAAACATTGAATTGGTAATTTACAAGGAAAGTTATTCAAACAGTTCGGAATAATTTATTTTGTGCTGATTAACAGACTTACTTAAGGGGTAGTATAGGGGATTTGCAGTTTAAACGGTTGGTCCCACTTTATCCGGAACCAAATTAATTAGGGCATTAATTTACATCAAATAATTTACCGTAATTTGCTAGCAGAGCCTTTATCAAATAATGATAATACCTTATGTTGGACTCGATGGTAATGATATTAATAACAACAACAAAAACAACAACAACAATAATAATAATAATAATAATAATAATAATAATAATAATAATAATAATAATAATAATTATAATAATAATAATAATAATAAAGTTAAAGAAATACATAATGATAAAGAATTTGATAATAATGTGACAATAATTATTATAATGACATTAATGAAGATAATGGTGATTATGATGGTGGCGATTACTATGACGATGATGATTATACTAATGATGATTCTGATGTAATGAAACCATTTAGAGTGAGAAATAATTAGAGTGAGAAGTCTCCGAAGGGTCATTGAGCCTCCGCCTCTTCTCTCTCTAGCGCAATCTAATCGTATACAGCAGGTTAATTTCAGAATATAAAATGGCATTTCCTTGCTTTATTAACATAAACGTAACTAACTATATAACCAATAAGAAACGATCACACTATTATAGTACGCCAAATTTTCCGTTTATAAATAGGCGCTGTCATTCTATCATTTTACGGACATCTTACGGATACAGTGTTTCAAATTTGCACAGCTTATTGCATTAGTTTAAATTATTCCGATTTTAAGGACAGTTCTCAAAATTCATCTCGTACACATGATCGTCTACCCGGGGCCGTAACCAGTAGGGTTTTCCGCAGCTCTTACCCCTTTATTCACCAGAGAATCCCCTGCTTTGTCCAGCAAGGCTACCCAAATACCCCATAAATGAAAACACCTTACTATATACCCAAGTGGATGCTTTTTTCTCTTTCATTAAATTGAAAATTGCTTTTGTAGGATAATTAGAATACTGTATATCCTATTAATATTTTTTTTTTATCTGTAAGATGTACTCTGGCCTCTGAACCCCATTGCATGCAGGATGCCACAAACAATGTCCCAGTTTACTCGAAAACAGCGTATTCAGAGCAGTGGCGTGTAGCGCCTATGGGCTCTCGACATTTGAAAGGTATTGACTTTGCCTATACGCAGTTCAGTCTTAATAACCAGAAGTGCTTTCCTAGTAGGGGATTCACTAAAGTAAAAAATATTATATTTGGTTCATTTTTTTTTCATTCCATTGAAATTTTTAACTTTATTAAGACTCGCCTACCTCATTATAATAATTACTGTTTTATTAAGCAGTTTTGAAATGTACGGTACCGTCTCTCTACATCGATTCTACATTTTCATTGCGTTTTATTTTGTATAGGGCCTATTAACAATATTTTCAACTATAGGTTTACTGTGGGAAAGCTAGCTGACTCTTCGTGACCATAGTATTCTAATAATATAATTTATTCGGAAACTACACTTTTGAAACAGCGTCACACTTCACGTGATAAAGGTGCGTCCAAAAATAAAACTTCAAACAGAATACAGTACACTAAAGAAAACAAAGTACAAATTGGGTAAACGTCACTCAAGCATTTGACAAGCACCGCCCCACCCCAATCCAATACCCACCCTCATCAAAGTATTATATGAACTGATGCCTCAATAAAGCTAAATGACGGACGAAATGGCCATGTCAATCCCCTGAGTGTTATTCAATTAAAAGTATATATAATACGAAGTAAACAAAATGTGATATTTTTGGTACCAGCGCCCTCTAATGACCAAAGCAGTTACCTCTGAACAAAAGTTTACTTTAATACAACTTCCAATTCCAAGATCTTTAGTTTAGCACCACCATTTACCGTGTGGCTAGAGTGGGCAAGGTTGGTAGTGGCCGTATTGTCATAATTTTTGTATATTTTGTACCCTTGATATCGTATTCACTTACTTAAGGTATGTCTAAGTTCCTTGTTTGGTACACTTTATTTTTAAGATTACAACTTTATTCATTATTGTAGTGTTGTTATTTAGAGCAGACATTTTCCAAGGCCTCCGTGTTTAGTACACACGGCGGTAGCTAGGCTTAAATTAGGCATAGGCTTAGCCAAATATAGGCTTCTATTCAAGTGGTCGCGCTTCATCAGAGCACATTGTAATAATACGCCTAGGCTAGGACGAAACTGATTCCAAAGGACCTTGTCTGTGAGCTGTAAAGAAATGGTCGCTGATGAACTGTAGCACTCTACCCTCCTCTAACCCTATGGTGTTTTTTTTTTGGAAAATGTTTTAATAAAGTTAACTAACATAGGTGCTATAGTTGACACTGCAGTATGTTAAGAAAAAAAATCATCTTGTTTGGATATGAAACTTATGGTGAAAGATTCTACAACATTCAAACATTAAAACAATGTTTATTTGATTGAAGTCGTGCTACTAGTTAATGTTCTATATTTTTTGAAATATTTTATTTTTCCCGATATATGGTAAAGGGATTATGCGGAAACAATGTGACTTTTTGACATTTGTAGAATAAAAACTAAAAATATAAACAAATTAAAACTTTATTTATAATATATCTCTAGGCCTATTATTTTCTAAACAGATTTTGTGTAGCGTTGCACTTATACAACCCTTAACAACTACTAGAACCACTCCCATACCACCCAACATCCAACACATTCTATCCCTTCCCCACCCCCGGTTAAGATATATTAAGTACTGTACTGTACAAATTAAAAGTAATTAAAAAATACTTACATAGGCCTACAATAATGAGATATTATTATTATACATAATTGTTATACATACCCTCACTAAACTACTTCTCAACTTATCTCCATCCTCTCCCTCCCCCGACCTGAGACCCCGCCCTCCCATATTTATGTTAAAACTTTTCTGTATCTTTATTATTTAAGAACAGTACACTTTTAGTACATTACATTATTTACTATTGCCACATGCAAATGAAAATACCTCCTCATCCCCCACCACCTTTCACGTCTACACCGCCTTTCTCTCTCCCCTTCCCCAACATCCACAGTATCCCTTCCCCACCACCTTCACCCATCGCCTACCCCCACCACCAGCATCTCGGTAGTAGGACCCCTTCCCCACCATATTCACCCATCGCCTACCCCCCACCACCAGCATCTTGGTAGGGGATATTTAGGTTTTTCTATACTCAAATAAAACTACTTTCCTAACGATAAAATTTCTTCATACTTGATCAAAATTACAATCATCATATAATTAACTAACAAGTAGATATAATAATTAAACTCTTGCAACTTTCCTTCTGGTAAAAAAAGTGGATTTTAATCTAGTATAAATTTCAGACGTCAACGACACTGTAAATAAAGGATGGATGAAAACAAAACAAATTTGTAACCTTTCTTTGACCTTTAATCTGCATATTGATGTATGACATCAGCAATATGCAATGAAAAAATGCATTTTTAAATATTTTTTAGAACCCGACTCTCTGACCCAGCAGTGCAAGCCCACCATTTGAACAAGTGACCAAAACTAAGAAAGTGTGACGTCACGATAGGTAACATAACTATGCAGTTGTGGTACTGCAAAAGTGGTGACTGCAGAAGTTTTAAACTCACCCGATTTCCTGAGGTCACAGACACTGTTTAGTGTTACGCTATTTTTTTGGCTAATTCATAATATTTCTACTGTAATGAGTGAGGTCATAAAACACCACAATTTGTGTTGCCCATCCAAGCAAGAAAATCCAAAATCTAGAAAATATAGGATTGACTTTAAAAAAAATTATTTTTATTTTTTTATTTATTTCTTTAGGCACACATGTACAGTATGCACCAAGGATTAACAATAGCAAATGTCACTGTTCTACTTGTAGGTGTCAAATCCATTTCACAAGACAAACATATAATAATAAGTTACATTTATATAGCGCACATTACACAGTGCCTCTATGCGCTTTACATAAAATTATAGAAATTATGGAAAAGATGTTGAATTTACAATATAATAGGGTGTGATACACATGATGATTTACATATAATCTTGATTGTTTTAGTCATAAGAAAAAATACTGCAACACTGACAGAAACTGAACTCTGGGATTGGAAGGCAAGCATCTTAACCATCAATCTACTCACCTCCACACATTATTCACAATTGACCAAGTGGAACCCATACAAAGAATAATATAATATTTGATTTTTTTTGCAGGGAAGGTAAAGATCCCAAAAGAATGGTGAACGGATTACGATCAAGGAATTTAATGTTTGGATTTTAACTTCTTTTATGGAATAAACCATTCTACCAGGAACTTGTTGTGCTGTTGGTGTTAAGGAGTGCTTGTAGGCCATGTTTGCTAGGGAGTTGAGGGTAAAACCTTGGCCTATAGCCCTGGTACTTGGTCTGTTTGTATTTTCTAACTATTGCTCCTTTACTCAAGGTTGGTACAATATGATTGTGTATGAATGAACAAGTAATTTCACGGTATTTTCTCTTACAGAGTTTGACCATGGTTTAATACTGTACAATTCAATTTAACTCATATTGTCCGAAAAGAAATACAGAGCAGAAAAAAAAATGCATTTTAAAATTACTCAAACAAAACAATTATTAAACACAGAGTTAAATCATTAAAGTATTAAAATGATATAGGTTAATGTTATGATACATTGCATGAAGGGTTGTATAATTACTGAACTTAATTATTATTGTACAGATGAAATATTAATCATCATTATCATCAGCCTGTCAGGCCACTGCTGGTCGATGACCTCCTCAAACTCCACTCATTTCTGTTCTTTGCCAGATTTTCCCAGTTCTCACCAAGATCCATTTGGAAGAGATCACTCCATCTCTCGTTTAGTCTTTCTCTTTTTTTTTTTTTTAAATATTAATATTGGTACGTTAAAGAATAACATATTCTGTATCTCTGTTTCATGGTAACAACATAAGTTGTGCATTAAATACAGTAGTAGAGATATAAAAATTATTGTAAAGTGTTTTCGAACTAAAAATCTTTATTTTATTTATTTATTTATTTATTCAATCGTCCAACAGGACCAAGAAGGTCCCACTTACAGGCGAAGATTGTAGTAAAATATTTCTATGTACAATATAAAAATATAAAATATTTAAAATTCATCAAATTATTAAAACATTGTAGAGTTAAATATTACATCGATTAAACACATAAAAATTACGTAAGATAATTATTTAAATGACATTTAAATACATATAAAGAATTAGAAAATATATCAACATCAGGACATTTGGCAACAAAATCATTATATAAGCTAGACAGACGCAAAATAAATCCATTTTTCTACTGTATTTAACTTTGGTTTCATTAATTATTAGTACAGATGTGGTTTTTGAAAATAGTTAAATTGGTAGAAGACTGAACATCAGGGGTTAATTTATTCCATTCAATAGCACCACGATATGAGATACTTCTTTTTTTGTAATTAGTCTTTGGTTTGGGAACATATACATTTGTTTTACTTTTACGAAAGTCATAGCTGTAAGCATTGAAAGAGAACAAGTATGTTAAGTAAGATGGTGCCATATTATTTAAAATTTTATAAACAAGAATATTACAATCATTAATATATTTATTTGAAATTATTTATGAATTTTTCTTTTGGAAATACTGTATTGTTAATTAGTTTTAACAATGATTTAACTATATTGGTTTTAATAATAATTTAACTACCTATATATCAATGTTTTTATTGAATAATATTACATTTTTTTTTTTACTTTTTTATTTAGGTGTATGTTTTTACCAAGGACTTCAATATGCTGTAAGTAATAATTTGTTTCATTATAATTTGAAACACTATATGTATGGCAAAATGAATAGATTCAGTAATTTTGTTAACATACCAAAACTTTAATAGTGTAATTTCTCTTCAGTGTGTATGCCACTATTCCCTACTATTTTAGTGTGATAAGAAACAGTTACTTCACAACTTGTTCTTACCAAAGTACTCTTCCACTCCATTCCACTCATGAAACCTAGACCCAGGAACCTATTAAAGTAGTACTGAAATCCTGTCCCCAGTGGCACTAATTAATTATTTACAATATTTTTTCTTGCAATTTCCAGTGCATTAATTTACTATAATGACAATGAAGAGAAGGCCTTGACAAGCGGTAAACGGACAGTAGGGTAAACAGTCCATAGTCGTCTGGTCTCTAAAGTAAAGCCTACTTATGTCTGCCCCAGAAATTGTTTCTGTTTCAATTGTTTACAAATTGTAAACTTTTTTTATCCCTTGTCACTCGCAGCCTGTGGTTATTCCTTTCCGGTTTGGGCCACATACTGTAGAAATATGGGCATTAATAATTGATTGACATTTAAAGGCAGAACGTGATTAACTTGACACCGTTTTTAACTGAGTAAATTATTTATATACTTTTCTTTTTTGTTTTTGAATGAGAAGTTTGCATGCTGCGAGTGCTTCCACAAAGAATGAAATTGATTTGGTAATTGTTAGCCAACTTATTCTGTGTGTTTTGTTATCAAGTGAAACACTTAGATTTTTATTCTTTTGTCACGTAATGTGACTAGTCTTTCATTAAATATTTCCATTCTATTTGCTAAACTCCAATTTGTTTTGCTTTAACAAGACATAATCTTCTCAAATCAGGCTTTTTGAATATCAATTTAATGTGTGGTGTTGACTTTTCACTATGGTGTAGCAATAACAAGCAAAATACATATCTACCTGGGTTCACTCTAACTTTCATTTTTGTTTAGCCAATTGGCTAAAGCTAAAAAAAAAAATTTAGCCAATTGGATATTTGTTTAGCCAAAATTGGCTAAAATGTTAAAAATTGTTTTAGCCACTAATCATGCACTTAAATGGCCTGAGTGAAGTTTCATGCAAATGTTTCGTACGGGAAAAAATCGCGGCCTGGCCATTGAAATCATTCAAGCATTCAAGGAAAAATCCCCAAGCTCGAAAGCCATTATTTACCCGACAGTCGGCTGCTTTAGTTCTGCTGTTGTGTGTGCACTTGGGCATTAGGGGCACGCTAACAGCTAGCCGACTGTCGTGAACCTTTTTATTAAATCGATCATGTTTTAAAACTGTGTTTAGTTCGATAGCTAGGTAACCTAGTGGGCCGTCGGTATGTTCGAATTTCGATGTCATTAGGCCTACGGCCTACATTTTCCCATAGAGGAGGACAGCAGACAGTAATTTATACTGGTTTAACATTCCAATTCGGAGAAGTTTGATCTGATATTGTTAGTAGAAACTTTATTCTTTTAAATAATAATACTGATGACAAATCATGTACAAATTATTACGATTTCTACTTAAAGATCACGTTGTTTATTGTTTACCGTAATTTGAAGCAGAACCTGCTAAGCGATCCAATACTAATGAACTACAGAAATCAGTACTTTGCCGAAGTATTGGCTAGTCATGCTAGACCGCATTTTCTTCGTCTCACTGTCGCTCACAGCTTTTCAACATTTGCCACGAGGTTAACCTTTAACACATTTTACTGTGTTTTGATTGGCGCACACTCTGTCCGATGCTGGATTTTTGGGGTTGACAAGATGAACTGGCATTTTGCCAAGTTTTATTTTCCATTGAGTTTTGCATGTGACATTTGGTAATTTTACAATTAACGGACGTTAACTCTCTCTATATTTATTATTTATCGTACTAAATCAAGGCTACAAAGTATTATTTGATGAACAATCTTTTCACGTGTGTGTATTGTCATTGAGGGCATTTTTTTTAACAGTTAAAGAGGTAAAATAATTGTAAATAAAAAAATAGGCTAGCCTAGGCCAGGCTAATAATTAAAAAAAATAATACAGCAGTACAAACAATTAGTTCCTGTCGACTCGTGGACAGCGAGATGAAGAGGAGACTCCTTTGAAGTCAATTGTACGTTTTTCTTATTGAAAAACAACTCTATACTTTAAATTAACGGTCTCATCAAGCAATCAAGCAATACATTGTTTATTCCAGTACTATAGCTACAGCAGTCTGTCTGCACATACAAATAAACAACATGCTTTTGCTTCATAGGTTCACTTCGCGTAGCCGGCCTTGCTTAGATTGTTTATATCAGGCTACGATGTATCTACGAAGCCTGCGCGCAGGTAAAAATGCAGTATTTTGTGTCGGTACTGTAGTCGTTACCATCCAGCCACTGATTGTTATGCTGCCCACTTTAAAATAACAAAATAATTTGCGATGCACACAGTGACGTTTGTAGTCACACTAATAGAACAACACACATAAACGTCGCATGGCACTGGCAATGGAGTAGCGTAAAATGGAGATCTTGGCCTTGATCGTGCCGACGGAAAAATATTTCCATGGAGAGGTCGGACGAAGAAACAATGTATAAGTATTTAAAAAAAACCATTTTTATTATTTTTAGCTTTCGCCAAAACGGCTAAAGTAGTTGTTTTTTGTTTCGCCAATTCAAAATTGTTTTCGCCCATGGCTACTTGGCGATCGGTTAGCGTGAACCCAGTGTACATGATACTGCACTGTAAAGCCAGGCATTACTGCGTTGTGTGACGGTCGTACAACCTTTTGCCGATGAATCCAAATCCGCTCCCTGTGAACGCCAGACAACGTGACACTGTCCAATGATTGTCAGTGGCAGTCTGAATGGACTGTTGTGCGCGCATTGTGGCACTTCGTTCTCCAATTGCATCGCTCGCGACTGTGGTGCGCAGTGAGAGTGCGGCTTATTTAATACTATTACTAGATTCATTTATATGAACTTAGTTAACTGTATATGTCATTAGTTTAACAACATAGAGTAGCATCCAAAAGAAAATCAGTTTTTATTCTCTTTTAACAATGATTTTGTTTATTTTCTATTTGTTACAAATTGACCGCAATCAAAACGAATTTGGGCCGGCCCAGGTTCTGCTTATGTTCAGATTTTAAGTTGAGTCGGCCCAGGTCACAGTATGCAGGACCTTGGCCGACTCAAAAGTTGGCCTATGTTTTGGTCGGCTTAACATTTATTGTGAGTGAGCCAAATGGCCGAGCAGTTAAAGCAGGGGCACCGTGATCATGGCCAACAATATCAGCACGGGTTCGCGGTCGGCTCGCTCCTATAGTTCTGATGGTGGAACAAGTCTTCTCGGATAAGGACTATAAACTGTAGGCCCAGTGTTCACAAATGCTCATGTGCACTTTAAAGAAACCAGTACATCTTTCGAGATGAGTAGGGGGTTACCCCGGTGTACTGGTTCATTCGGCCCCTGTCTTAGACAGATGAAAGTGCGCCGGTTTACTGGCTGCTGAAGACATGAAGTGACCCTTAGGGGAGGAGAAAGTTATTGTAAAGTGCAACATCTAGTCCCGAGCGCATAGAGACCATGTATTATGCGCTATATAAGTCTCAATCTACCATTAACATTGATTGTTCACACTAAAAAATGCAGACCTTGAGGCGACATAACTCTTAGGTGTGATTGGACTCTATGAGAATGATGGAATTCACACTAGAAGACATAGAGTACAACATTCGTGTCGTCACAACACCAGGTGGCGTTCTTTGTTGTCAACCAGACATTGGTTACCGTTCATTACGCCTGAATGACTTCATAATCTTAATGATTTAGAATAGGCTTTCTGGAATAGGCATTTTAAAACCTAATAATTTACCATCAAAATGTACTAAAAACACAAAAAGCTTGCATTGTATTAGTTAATATCGAACACACATTTAATCATCAATTAACATTTACAAAGAAAAATTAAGAAACATCTTCTTAATAATTATGTTAGAAATTGGGATCAATGGTTTGTCAGTGGAGAAAAATGGTGTCGGTTGAACACATTTGTGTAGCCGGTAGCAACGGAATAGTATGACGTGGTATCGTCATGTAATACTGTAGTACTCTATAGTAGTACAGTATGCCTCATCAAAACTTGTAGTTTTACTTGGCCTGCTCTTTGATTATACAGTATAATTCGCAATTTGTTCAATTTCCTTTTCTCAGGCAACTACAATTTACAAGAAAAGCAACGGTTATAAATTGACACCTCACGCTACGTTATAAAAAATATTGTCTATAATAACCATGACTTAACCAAAGTTATATGAATGTGACTTAAGGTGATATAGCCAGATGGGATTTCAGTACCTTAAGTGTTGGAAAGTACTTTACTGTATAATTAATAAAATTTATATTTCTTTCTTAACTGTTAAAAATGATTCAGTTACAGTAGGTGGCCATTAATGATGACTATTACAGAAATTTGATATGAGGTCAGGGTTCATGGGATACTTTTTATTGATATTTTGTTACAAGTTTGAAAGTACATGTTTTGTTAAAATAATCAGTTAATGGTGATGGATATTTTGCTTTTAACTATGACCATTGACCATTCATCCCATCAATAGCAGTACCATTTAGAAGCACAATGAGGGGTAATTTGTCCTTGCTAGGCTTTTGCCATGCAAATTTACAGTGTGCTATAAGGTGTTACTGAGGAATGTATCTCTATATTATTGTATATTGTAGTGTACTGTAATATACTATATGTATAGGAGTTGGTTGAACAATATTGCAGAACAACAAATTATTTAACTTCTTGTCACTGTCATGCCTGCACAGAAAGTCCATTCTTTACAGGTGTACTTTACACTACAGGCTGTCAGTGTGCAAACTATTGTTTACATAATACTGTATTGTACAGTATGTAGGTGTGTACGTACAGTACTGTACTGTACTGTATGTACAGGTATGTAGTCACATTATACAGATTTTCAGGAATGTATGTACAGGTACAGTATACTGACAGGTGTACAGATTAGACTGTAGATACAGTATACTATACCAATAAACTGGTACTGGTATGGGCATTTATAATGCGTCTATTCCTTTGCAGTTATAAAGTGCAGTCCTTTTCCCTGGTCATTGGGTCCGCATGCCAAGTGTTGCTATTGGGAATCAGCGCAGGAGCAGGCAACCCCACCAGGTACCCATTTATGATACTCCTGGGTGGAGAGAAGCAATGCAGATAAAGTGTCTGCTCAAGGACACATGCGAAATGCACAGTGAGGGATTGAAACCCTGACCTTGGGGTTGGGAAGCCACTGTGCCAAACTGCTTCATACAATAAACATACAGTAGTTGCACAAATTATACAGGTAGAGAGATGTATGAGTTTATGACTCGGTTAAAGTAGAGAAAATGTAATTGTTTTTAGTTTTGGAATAGCGTTCAAAAAGGTTCGCTCACTTGTTGTACTGTACAGTAAGTGTAAATGATTCCAACTAGCTCATAAATATTGATAAAATGTACAT